AATTTATTTTTAGATCACAAATTTTATATGTCACAAATTATCAAATTAATATATCATGTTTTATTTTTAAGTCACAAATTACAAATTTTACAAGTCACATTTACAATTTATCGGTCACAATTATGAAATTAATAGGTCATGTACTATTTTAGATCAAAAATCACAAAATTTGTAGATCATAACTTATTTACAATCACAAATTATAAAATTTATTGGTCATAACCCCACTTTATACAAGCCCAAGCCCAAGCCCAAGCCCAACCATCGTCACTATCAGCACCACCGCCATCACCATCCCATTGCCACCGCCACCTCCACCTCCATCTAACCATTATCATCACTTTCAGAACTAGCACCACCACACAGGCGTGGATCCAGCACTCGGAGAGCAGGCACGGCCGCGCGTGCTGGATCCGCCAGGAGAATTTTTTTTTTGTTGGCAACAGCTTAAGGTTTTATAATATATTACTGGTAAGTCGCCTTTGTTATCAATACTCCTTGTAGCCCAGTTGGTTGGAGGATGCATATTTATATTCAACGTCTAAGGTTCGAATCTCTCCCTCTAAAGAATTTTTGTGCATTATTCTTATTCTACAAATTTTACCAAAATTTTTGTAATGATGGAGACAAAGGGATTGGCCATTGTGATACTTCTTAGTTTGTGCCAATTATTTGACCAAAAAATATTTATTAGGTTTTAACTGGTTTAAGCCAAATTCAATTGTAAATACTAGAATCCGCGCTCTTCCTTTTAATTATACAAAACTTGACAATAATGTCATTTGATGAGTCATGTTTATTCTGATAACACAATTATATATGTTCAATTTGAACAAAATAATTGTTATATTTAAACTTTAGGCTTTATTCAATTTCTATTTTTTTCAAAATACATTTTTCTCTTTTATTTTCATTCACTTATTTTTCAATAAAATAATATTTATCACAAATTCAAAAATTTTCTTTATTTGTAGTAACACTTTCTTCTTTAAATTACTGTTCAAAAATGTATTTAAAAAAAAAAAAATGAGTATCAAAGGAACTCTTAATATTTTATTACAATTGATGGTAAATGGTCAACGACTATCTCAAACTCTTGGATTCCCCCTTGCCACCACAGATTGCCCATCGTCACCCACCACCTTGCCATCCCCACCACCTGCATTATGGTTGCACCACCACCAATTGAATGCCATGCATCTCACCACCATTTGCAATTGCAAAAAACAACCCCAATTTGGAATTCACAAACAACCACCCCAAAAAACCACCCCCACTAATTAGATTTGACGAAGAAGAAAATATCAAAATCACCAAAAAATCACATAGCGGCATTCTTCTCTAAATCCACCACAAAATCACGTGTACGCTACTATGTGCGGTCGCGACGCACGACACTGTACACAGAGAGGTAGCATAGTTGATCGACTACACCCTTCATGACATTTATCGATCTTTAGCGCCGCAGAAAAAAGAAGGATATCGACACTTCGTGATGGACAACAGATCGGCAAGCGTGGCACCGACAGAGGATCCTCTATGCGCAGCATCGGTTGCTGGAATAGAGGGGATAGGGGTGAATGGGTAAAGAATGAGAGAGAGGAGAAGGAGTTTGTAGAATAATTTAGGGTTTGGGCGTTAAATTGGGTGGGATGAATGGTGAGGCGGAAATGTGGCTTAATTAAATTTTATAATATTATTATAAATATTTAAAGATTGAATTATCACTTGATTTTTGAATAAAAAATGTTAAATTTGAATCTTGAATTGAGAAGTTTAAAAACATATGTTGGTTACAACTAACAAAAGTAAACTGAGAGCCCAACAAATATCAAATTAACCCAAATCACCCAAAGCCATGAATTATATACAACCTTTGATGTTTAGAATTATAAAAAATCAAAGCAATTTTTTCTAGATTTGCAATATGGAGTATTTATGATTTTGATTTTTTTTTTAATGAAATTTGAATAACATATAGAAAGTTCAAAGAATGCATTATTTTATTTATTTTTAAGTTTATAATACTTAAAATAATATTAAAAATTGGAAAATGCATAATTATACATATGCTTAACACATTTTAGAACCTTGACATAACCTAAGAACATCTTAACTAGCAACGAACACATAGCTTTCAATCACATAAATTATATTTCAAATTTCAATTATTAATTAATTTACTTCTGTGAGAGTGTGACCTTAATTATAATAACTATTGGGTAGGTTTGAGCCACTCCTTGTTATATTTTGTAGGGAAATTTTTAGAGGGCCTCCATATTTAAAATGTGCAAAATAGTCCAACAACTTTTTATTATAATTTTTTTTTTTTTTTTGCAGTGACTTTGTATTCATTTTTTTTTGGAATAATTTCGTTATGCAAGCTTGATTTTAAATGTTAGTGAGAAGAAAATTCAAAATAGCTCACGAGAAGACTCGTCGGTAGAAATTGGAAAAGCATATCTTAATTTTGATGAGGTTGGACTTTCTTTGCTAAGAAATTTGCCCTATGCGTCATCTATGGAGAGACTAACCCTAACGAGTGTATTATATTTTAGGGTCATATTTAACAATATTTTCATTGAAGACTATATGATTAATGCATAGAAATAAGAACACATTCTACATGCTATACTTCAAATTTTATGCTAATTTCTCCGGTGGTTTCTTGATTACTCTTTAATTTCATTCACTCATCACGAGTATCTGAAACTATCAAAAACACAAAATTCTAAGTGCTTTTTTTTTACAAATCTTTGGGTACATTATTATATATTTTAGTTCTACTCACTACAATAAAAGTGGGTTTTTACGGCTTGAATTTACGACGTGCATTTATGACATGTCGTGAAAGAAGACTATTTATGGCATTAGCTATATGTATGCCGTAAAAAATCAATAACTTAAAGCATTTACGGCGTACATTTTTGCATGCAGTAAAATCTGAATATTTACAGCGTGCTAAAATTGGACGTAAAATCTGAATATTTACGGCGTGCTAAAATTGGACTTGTTACGGCGTGTATTTGTATGCCGTAAATACCGTCTTTTTTTTCCGATTTTATTTTCCTTATTTTTTCGTTTCTTCCCAGTTTTTCATTCATTTTTACGAAACATGACCGCCGTCTTCGTTTCTTCCTGCTCTGTTCGTGCTGTTCTCTCCCAAATTACCACCTTCAATTGGCCATCAACCGTTCAATTAGCCGTGAGCCCGCTAATATACTTGCTTGAATGTTGCTCCAATTGAATTCCAAAATCCCGTGCTCTCCCTCCATTTTATCTCCCTTTTTTCCCAAATCCAATTTGGCTTTCTCAACTCTAGTCGTTGTTGTCCATCTGTCCGTGTCTCCGCCACCGTGTGTCCGCCTGAGTGCCGCTGGCTCATATGACTTGTGAGCCCTCTTTTCTCTTCCCCCCCCCCCCCCCCCCCCCCCCCGCCCCCC